TCCAGTAGGTGGCCACTCCGTTCTCCGGGTATTAAGCCTATGGATTTTTTTCCTTTTATGACACTTCCTAAAGAGCATTGTTTATGTTAGTAAGGTTGAGAGTAAGAACGAATTGCGTTAACATAACCAAGAAGCCTTCCCAAAGATAACATTACTCCTACAATGTTGTAAAACACTTGGCAGGAGATTGGGTACAGACTGAATATTTTGCGTGTAACTCGTGGTGCACACGTTAAACTATGGTGATTGTTTGTTGTAGAAAGTTTTCAACATTATTATTGCACGTGCAACAAACCGCGTGTCTCTATATTAAATGTTTTCCCGCTCTAATTTTTTAAAAGTGTTTCCAAACTTTTTGTATTCTCTGTAAGGTCAGCTTCAGAATACCAATCGTATTCATCTTTACACTACTAAATATATTCAGATTCGACTAATGACTGATGCCGCACATATATTCAGATCATCAAGTATATTGAGATTCAAGCTACCAGTTAAATTGACTCAAACTATCAATTATATCCGTATTAAGATTATCAAGTGTAATCATATTCTGACCACAAAATATATTCAACTACCAAATATATTTAAATTGCCAATTATATTAAAATTTGAACTAGTTGGAAAATCAGAATTGAACTCTAAAGTGCAATTAGATTCATCTATTATGCATATTCATGTTCAGACTGTATGTTCAGATTCAGACTACCGAGAACATATAAAATTATAAGATATAATTGGAATCATGTTGCCGATTATATAAGATCCGCTGTTTCGAGAAATGTCTGCTACATATTTTGTGTTGTGTTTAAAAACTTTAAATTTTATGTGTGAAAAAGAAACAAAACAAAATATTTGTCCAAGTAACACAGTAAATTTGTAAAAATCAAATTCAGTTTACTATTTTGTCGTGTTACTTAATCTCATACCTTTATTTTCTATGAGTATAATTTAACATATTCTTATTCAACTTCATAAAGTTTTATGCTTTCTTGTGTTAAAGCAAAATATAATACACTTTTTGAAATGAAAGTAAAATTTTTGCTTTTAGCATGGTGCGAAGATTTTCCTGAATATTACATGAAGTCATAAGAAAACTACGTATCGCATTTCAACATTAAATCTTCAGAATATTGGTGAAAATATTTTGTTAAGTTCAACGTCTGGTACAAATTAGAAACCTTTAATAATGATTAATACTGGGGAAGGTTTAAGATATGTTTTCAGTAAAACGTTGAACACAATAAAGCATATAAATCATTAATTAATGAGGGAAACTAAATGTTATAAAGATATTCAGTACGAAATAACATAAAAAGTAAAAATAAATCGATATACAACGCGTAACTACGTAACATAACCTTCACTTAACGAAACAAAATACATGTATGAGGAAGCAAAACTGTTAAGTTGCGAAAACACACACACATAAAACAACATAATGGGTCGTTAAAAATAAAACAAACAAAATAAAAATATTAGAAAATTATATCATAACAAGCTGTACCATGAAAACTTACAAGGTTAACAGCAACATAAAAAGAAATATAAAAATATGTTATATTCAAAATACAAGTTATATAAAATACACAATAAAATATTCCACATTCGGAGCAGAGTTACTTGTCAGATGAAGAAAATAAAATCATGTTACGTTTTATTCATTCTCACTTAATGCTCTTTATAGATTCACATCTCCTGTTGCTGATGAATTAAGAAATCGTGACACTTCTTCCTCAAATTATTAAGTTTATTTGCTCTCTGGCAAAAATAAATAAATATTAACTTACAAAGTACTAATGTGTATTGAACTACAATTAAATTATTCTATCAATAAAAAATCGCTTCAAACTCATAAATTGAACTGGGTTAACTTAACCATTACTAAAAATACTTAATAATTCAGGTTTGTAATCAGTAAGTTCAATATTTCAGGTAAGTGTGAAATTAGTTGTTAAGTTTTACTTCAATTTTCAAGTGATCATGGTGTTATTTATTTTTTGTTTTCGTAATCCAAGTTCAAGTATCTATAAACAGAATACGTTTACTATCCGTAACTGTGGTGGACAACCAAATTTAAAGACCATATGTTTTGAGCAATTAACGTATATAATTTTATACGGTTTTGAAATGTAGTAATAAATACATGTAATTCGATTAAAAGTCACTTAAATAAATAAACAGAAAAGAAGAAATATTATCTATTACTGCTACCAGGACTACGAAGGTAAACAGAGGTTGCAGGAAACATAGTGTGTACATGTAAGAAACACTGTTGAACGAACAAGTTAGAATGTATGTGAACATATATATACTGTCACAATATCTAAGACTGGTATATGACCACATCGATAATAAGATAATAACACCACGTGAGAGTTTTTAATGCCCGGCTACACTTGATCAAACACGTTAATTATATTACAAAAAAGTCTTAGTCGTCTAACTAAAATCCATTATTAAAAGTTTGTGGTTCTTAATCTTTTAGTCTTAATTTTTTGCTTTTAAAAAAGGTCTACTTGGAATATGTTCACTAAAACAGGTATATAACAGAAAATCGAATATATAATAAACATATTTCATCCTAATGTGTCGAAGAGTAAGGTCACATCGGAATAATTAATAGTTTATGTTCGTTAAGCACGGAGCCCGGGCTGGTCCTGTGATAAAGCTTTGGATTTCGCAGCTAGCTAGGCGGATTTGCATTCAACAGTTTGTTTGTTTTTTTTTATTTCGCGCAAAGCTACACTAGGGCTATCTGTGCTAGCCGTCCCTAATTTAGCAGTGTAAGACTAGAGGGAAGGCAGCTAGTCATCACCACCCACCGTCAATTATTGGGCTACTCTTTTACCAACGAATAGTGGGATTGACCGTCACATTATAACGCCCCCACGGCTGAAAGGGCGAGCATGGTTTTGTGACAGGTATTCGAACCCGCGACCCTCAGATTACGAGTCGAGTGCCCTAACCACCTGTCGGGCCTGCATTCAACAGAATATTAGATGCACTTTAAGCTGTGAAAATCATAAAACTGGAAGCAAATTAACATAAAAAATAGCTTATGTCTGATCGTGCACACCGCTAAAGGTGCAAGTATAAGTCGTATTTACGTTTGTTATCAGCAACCTATTTTGAAGAATGTGGCTAAAAATAAGTGTTTATTGTTTCCACATAAATATGACGTGACTTTCTTATTATTACAGTATTCGATTGCCCGCGGTGGACAGAGCGTAGATAGCCCATTGCGCAGACTTGCGCAAAAACAACCGAGAATTATCATTATAAAATATAAGTGTTTTGTGATAATTGGTGTGAAAAGGTTGAACAGTGTGAATGGTGTCTGTAATAGCAATGATTAAATCCTGAAATACAGGCCTGAGCATCGAGACTTCAGATACAACATTTGAAAAAAAATATTTACAAATTAAAAAAAAACAAAAACGAGTACTAAGTAAAGAAGAAAAATTGACGATATTTTTCAAATCGCACAATATATAAAATTGTGAAATTTTGAGAAGCAAAATAAGCTAACTCGATTGTAATGGCGTATAGTTACCATTTGTCATAAACAATGCCATCTACCTTGAGTTTAGGAATTTTTACATTCTATTATCGTGTGTTAGGTAATATTTCAGTTATAATTAATATTTTTTCTTTGATACCTATAGCTATTCAATGTTTGATATATAATCGATCTCTAGCAATCAGCCTTATGTAATTATCAGGACGGCTACTGCACGTTGGTTGCTATTGGCAACGTTTGGGCAGTTGATGGGTAAGAGTAAGAAACAACGGATACTGGAACTTACTCGAAGAAATATAGGCTGTATATGTTTGTTTGTTTTGAATTTCGCGCAAAGCTACACGAGGGCTATCTGCGCTAGCCGTCCCTAATTTAGCAGTGTAAGACTAAAGGGAAGGCAGCTAGTCATCACCATCCACCGCCAACTCGTGGGCTACTCTTTTACCAACGAATAGTGGGACTGACCGTCATATTATAATGCCCCCACGGCTGAAAGGGCGAGCATGTTTGGTGTAACGGGGATTCGAACCCGCGACCTTCAGATTGCAAGTCCAGCGCCGGCTGTATATGAGGGACAAGAGTAACCACGGCAATATGAAACTTTTACTCGAATAACCCATTGTAAATATCAAACAAATTTTAAATTAATATTTACCTATCCTGTTATACTTATGTTTGTGTAGAATCTGAAGTTTCTAATAATCTATCTTTTTCACTCATAGTAGAATTTTACCTTTTAGGCAAATAACGTACTTGAGTCATGAATTTTAGAGCGCAAATACAGAGTGGTATAATAAAGATTTATCAGAACGAAAACATGATTCTATTCCTGAATAATCAGTTGATGCGATTTATGAAACAGAAAATTATTTAGATATTATTTTTTTTCATGAATAAAAATCTGATAAGACTGAATGATCATCAAAATTATTTTAAGATTTATGTAATTCATGTAAGACAAACACAAAAACATTTAAATCCATTTCTTAATGTCTGTAAGACACCACTGTTACTTATGAACCTCCACAGACTAAAATGAAAAAAAACAAAAAAAAACACTTGTCTCTGTAATCCTGTAAACGAGACACTTCACAAGAATTTTAGGAAGAAGGCACTGTCTCTAAACAAAGAAACTTCTGGAAGGAAATAGGGAGGTAGAGGCACATAAAGAAGCAGAAGAAAACATTTTTCCCATCACACTTCTATAGGAAAAAAAAAAAAGTTTTTCCTTTAGCTTCATTCTAAGAACTAACGACTATGTAGAATAATGTAGAATTATTTCTCACAAGTATTTATAAGAAAGTTTTGAGTAATATAAACAGCTGAGGTGAGTTTTTGGGAAGGGAACAGAGTAGACACTGGTCAGCAGAGTAAACTCCTGTATTTTTGCTGCTCCACCACAGTCACGGTGTACACAATCTTTGGTAAAAGCTTCTAATAACTTAAACATTCTAGCAAAAGTATGCGTAGACAGCCTTACGGAGTCACGGTAACAGGCTCAAAGTTGGGGGCTATCATCCTAGCTGCTTGTTTTGCGTGGATGTCACAATACAACTTCTCACCAATGTTGAAATATCCTGAAGAAGAAATGGAAGATTAAATTATTTTTGTTTTAGCTGCACTCCGGGAGACATATAAAAGAAAATATTGTGTTATAGAAACTAATTAGTGCACAAGAAATAAAACATAAGAAAATATTTCTGCATTATAAATTAAATTGATTTGGTAGGATATGTATATTACAGACCATATTACTGTCACCACTGAGCCACGTTATTAAACTCACTACCAGATGAAAGAAGAAAGTGTCATTAAATTTCAATTAAATTCTAATGCGATAAAGCAAGCTTACTTGATATATATATTAGCAAGGAAGTTGAACGGTTTATATTAGCATTGTACTCCAAGTAGAAACAGCTGTTTACCACGTAAGGGAATTCCAATCATTTGTTATAAAAGAGCTGGAAATGTTTTATTTTACCCAGTACGAGGCTATTTGTCAAAGAGTCACTTCTGATACTGTGACAGAGCTCTGGTAAGAAAACGCTTCCGCTGGACAATGTATTATACATGAAAGCTTCCACTGGACAACATACATGAAAGCTTCCACTGGACAACATACATGAAAGCTTCCACTGGACAATATACATGAAAGCTTCTACTAGACAATATACATGATAGCTTTTACTGAAAAATATACATGAAAGCTTCTACTATACAATGTACGTGAATTTCCAATGGAAAATGTACACGAGATCTTCCACTGTACAATATACATAAATGTGTTTAGGAATGAAGATGAATAAGGTATGTCACATAATTAGTACCTTATTTCACTATGAGAATGAAATTGGTCAATAACTGATGAACAACGTATGTCACATAATTAGTACCTTATTTTACTACGAGAATGAAACCGGTGAATAAATGTCGTGACGTTAGGTCAGTGTTGAACGAAACATACGTGCGTGTGTTTGTTATGATGTAGAGTTCATTTTCCTACTAATCATTAACAACTTCTGATCGAAAGTAAGTTAACCATATAGATTAAAATTAAAAGTAACTAATAAATTAATGAAGTCAATTCCATATAACAATCTGACAGGAAATACATAAGATAAAATTAATATGCAAGAAAACAAACTATGTAATAATTATAATTGGATGAATTACCAATAGTAATATAACAAGCACATGTATGCTGGGTGCATATATGGGGCTTATAATTGGATGAATTACCAATAGTAATATAACAAGCACATGTATGCTGGGTGCATATATGGTGCTATTTGCTTGCAGGAACTAATAATATGCTTGTGTTTAATGTATTGCGTATTCTGTAAGGAAATGGGTGTGAATTTTCTAGTATGTTGATGCAATTTTTTTATTGTCTGAACTTTGCTTTGACTAAGCTTACTTTATATTATATACGGACATTTTAGCACAGTGTCATGTCTTTTTTCTTCATTGGTAGCTTTCCTTTTTCAATACACTTATCACAATTTCTTTCAATTGCATTTCATCTATTTCATTCCAATTTTCCGAACTAGCTATTTTGAATCAACAAGTTTGTAGAGGGTTCATTTCAAGTAGTAGTAAACAAACAAACAAGATAATATTTGGCTCCTCTTCCCATCTTTTAATTTTGTGTAATTTTTTGCTTTTACAGTACTGATATTTATTTCTTAATTCCAATATTTTTATCTAATGTGATCGTAATGACATTAGTAGTGATAGTCTTAAACATTGACTTTTCATTCTTTTAATACCGAATTCAAAAAACGCTGTGAGTGAATTTCGCACAAATAGCTATAAGATAAATCTAATAATATCTTGCGCATTTCACAGAAAAAAATTTTAAATTCCTATAGTAACGGTTCTTTAAGCTCTTTTGCTGTAAAT